TACGTACTCTGTTAGTATCAAGTCCATAAAGTGTGTCGGCATATGCGGAGCCATTGGTAGAAGCCCATTGGTGTTGTATTGGTTGGGTGGCTATTGGTGGAAGTCCATAAATACCCACCCCAAGAAAGCCCCAAGATTTATAAATGGTCATTGGATGTGTAACATCAATGGCGAGGGTTTGGAATGCCCGAATTCATATGCATGACATTGCATGTGCTATGGGAGCCAGTGAAGGCTCGAGTTGCGTTGCATGTGTGAGTCTCAGCTCACAACATGACATGGCATTATGACATTCATTCTTGAAGTTGTATGTTCTTGGATGAATGCATGTTTGATTGTTGAATTACATGTGAGCATTTTATATGCATCTAGATTGGAGAGTAGCCTCTTTAAGAAACCCTTTGTGGGGATAACATTTCATGTGCATGACAAGCGCTGGTGGACGGCTCTCACTTGGGCCCTTGTTGAGGAAGAAAGCCGAGTTGTGGCTTTAGATTACATTTTTGTAAAACAATCATGTAATTAATTTTGGATATCTAATATTTTATGGAGGATTGTAAAACGAACTCATATGAACTATATTTTGTGTAAAATTTGATGTTATATGAGTTTGGGTGAGTGTGGTATGAGATTGGATGAGTTGTGATGATGTTCTTAACACGATTGAGCAATGACATGAATCCAAAGTGCACTGAACAGTTAGATATAGTTTTGTCTAAGCTTCAAAGCTCTAGGGAATAGGATTTTGGGATAAGTGGGTGATTGCACAGAGTGTTTATAGTGGTTCACCAGCTCAGGAGCTTGGCTAATCCAGTTTCAAGGGAGTCTCTTGCTCCTGAATATATTAATTGCTATAGAGTTTACAGCGAGTATTGTGGTGATGTTACAATCACTTGTCCTTTATTTTTTAGGGCTTTGCCTCCTATTTATAGTTATCCTTAGGCCTAGCTTGATCTGAGGTGAGATACTCGCCCCTCCCTTGTAACGGTCGCCTATATTGTGCAATGACCGTAGCGGATTTGCATCTACTGAGAAATTATCGCCGCAAGGAGGGGTACTTAGTGGGATCCAACTGTTCTTTTGCATTGTCTTCCTCGAGATGTGGTTAAGTCTTGAGATCGAGGTCTATAATTTATAAGTTGAGTCGAGATCCCGACCTACCGAGCTCAACCTTAGGTTTTTTAGGTACCATTAGTTGCTCCCCAGCCTTTGGTCAAATAGGTTGGTTTGAGTAGCAATTATTTCGTGGCTGAGATGAGTGAGGTTACCTTGGATTCACCTTTATTTGCATGTGATAGGACTTCATTATGATAGTTATAGCAAACGTGTAATCATGTTCTCCTCATTTCTCGTGCAAGTCCTTATTTCGAGGGTCCATGTACGCTTGGCTTTAAATGTGATTGCAAATGGAAACATCTTCTTTCATTCTCTTGAGGCTTTACTTCTTCTCTTCTCTTCCTTTCTTGCTTTTTCCCCTATTCGCAAAGGATATAGGGTTTTCAGAAAAAATTCCCAATTTTTCTCCGAAGGTTCTGTATGGCTGGCCTAGTATGTTCGGACTTTCCCTTGGCTCCCGGTTTATCGATCGTTCCCAACTAGGAACGTCCCCTGCTCTATTCCTTCTTCTTCTCTTTTATTCTGGATCCCTCGAATTCGAGGTGGTTGTTTAATTTCTGGACTTTTCTCTTTTGTTATTTTAAGAATCGAGGTCTTACCCTTTCCTTTCTACCTCTCTTGGATCCCTACTCCACTACTAGAATCTTTCTCTTCGGTCGTTGGTGTCTTGACCCTTGGGCTCTTAGGGATTGCTTTACTCGTGTTCTTTCCCTTTAAAACTCTTTCAATCTTCCTTTTTCTTGCCTAGTTACGTTTGTCTCTTTTGAAGCCACAGCTTCGTCTGCCTTTGTGGCTATAGGTGACAGGTCCCCAGAAATAGAGGAGGACGGCTTGGGGCATGTCGATGATGAAATAGATAACTTCCTTGGGGTTGATGCTGAAGAGATTGCAGAGGTGTCTGATTAGTACTTAAATGTAGCATATTATTATGCCTTTTTAGGACTAATTGTACTTTGATGGAGTTCAAATAAGGATATTTCAGGTTCTAAAGTGAACAAGGACTCACGGGCAACAAAAGTCATGCTTGAATGTCGCACCAACACACTAGGGAATGAAATTGGAGAGGCTTGGAACAAAGCAAGAACGTTCAAATGCCAACTCACGTTCAAACGTCCATTTTAACTACGACAAAACCAGTCTGCTAAGATACAGTGTGTTGCAGCAAAGAACCAGGATCCTGAGGTACTTGAGTACCACGTTCGAACGCCATTCAACGTTTAAACGTCCACTTGAGTTGATTGAAGACCAGACTGATAAGACATAGCGTGTTGCGGCAAACAAAGAAGGAGAACTCTGAAGCACTTAAGTACCACGTTCGAACGCCATTCAACGTTCGAACGTCCCTTGGAATTAGTTGAAGAACAGACTTCTGCATGGAGTGTGGAAATGAACTTCACAGAAGACCACTTGAGTGAAAAAGGTCAGGCCCCATTTGGCGTTCGAACGCTTATAAAGCAAGACTAGAAGACACGTTCGAACGTCAGACACGTTCGAACGCCTATAAAGCAAAAATAGAAGACAACATTCAAACGTCCTCCACAGACTGTCTGTAGAGTAGTTGGTTTTCATGGGTGACAAACACTATTCATTCATCCTCTCTTATCTTCTTGTTTTCTCCCCCCTTCCTTGCCTATAAATAGCCCCATTGTGGGAGCTTCAAAGGGGCTTAGGAAGAAAATCCTTTTCTCTTGATAAGTAGAGTAGAGAGCTAGTCCTTATACATTTATGTTTTTGATTTCATTTTAAATTTGTATCAACCATGATGGAGGCTTAGACTCCCCTTGTAGTTGTACTTTCTTTTACTTACAAGTATCAAGAGAGATAGCTCATCTTTTGGTTGTGGTGGAAACCCTCCAAGAGTAACTAGCTTTCGTCTACGTTTATTGTCTATGTATTTCACTTCCATTCCTTGAGCATTCTTCTTTCTTAGAAAAGTGAAACTTTTCTATTTTTCTAGAGCTTTACCAAGGCAGTGAAGGGTGAAACGTGATTCACTTACTCTTCATTGAACATAAGCTCTTTGTTTAGTTTGCTTCACTTAATAACTCCTCTACTTGGAGGGATGAGTACCATTCACTCTTCTAGCTTTACCAAAGTCATGAAGAGTGAGTAGTTCCTCATTCACTCTTTTAGTAAGAGGTGATGAACATGTAAAGATTACCTGGAAGTTATGTTTGTGCAATTTCTTTATGCTTTAATGCTTTATATTCCACTTGCTCATTGGATGATTGAATGCATCTAGCAAAGCTAAGGTACTTTGTATAATAACCAAAGGCCCCTTCTATGATACAAATGACTCCTGCATAGAAAGACCCGTTGATTTAAGGCAAGCACCCCGGCTAGCTCTTCATGACAACTTTTCAATCTCCACCATTATTGCGCTTTATTCAAAGAATGGACCATTAATACGATGGTTGGATGCATTGTAGAAACATTTGCTTTTTTGTAGACGGGTTAAGTCTCGGCACAGACAATTCTTGTAAATTTCTAGAAAGGCATTGGAATCATATGCTTAATTCTCACAGTCCATCTTTATCTTATGATTAACTTGCTGTTGACACGGGTATTAATTGAGTTATAAAGCACAAACATAATAAACCGGATAATCAATTATATGTCTTGATCTTCGATCTAAAGAGTGGTTGTTATCTTTGCTAATTTATCTTATATTTTGTCTAGAAAACTCTTGAAAAGAAACTTCTATTCTATTCAAGAAATCCCACCACTCTAAATTCTCAAACTTTCCAATCACTTGGTCTTTATTATTGCTTACTTGAAAACACCAATCATAGTTCCCTGTGGATTTGACTCCGGACTTAACCAGATTATTACTACAACTTTACTGCCTGCACTTGGGGTGTATACATTTCAGATCAAGTTAGTGCCTTTGTCTTTACCAGGGCCTTCTTCAAGTTCTAAGCGATCTCGAAAAGGAAATGCTAAAAATGATGGAGCTAGACCTTTTGGTAGCTTTGAGGGCTCTGAACCTGTTCCTCGCGCTTTAGACATAATAGGTCATAGTGAGGTTACACCTTTTATGAGCGTCTTGTCCATGAGGTTTGGCTTTCCTAGGGGCATGCATTATTGGATCTCTTCTGTAGACATTAGGTATGATGATGAGGTCCCTAAGAAGACCTGCTTCTTCGTAGCCTCTCTAGAAAATGGTCTTAGGTTCCCCATACACCCCTTCATCAAATGTGTCCTCCAGCACTTCAATGTCTGCCTTGCTCAGATCTCCCCCAACTTCTGGGGTGCCTTGGTGGGCCTCTTTGTCTTTTTTAAGAAAAATAAGATCGGTATCCCCTCGGTTCCTTTGCTCATGAAATACTTCAACATCAAGTTCCAACCTGACAACTTTTTGTACATCTCTAAATGGGTGAAGACCCTAGCCTTGATCGCTGACCTACCTAGTGCTCACAAGAATTGGAAGAAATTGTTCTTCTATGTGACAGAGAAGGAATGGGAGGTTGACATGGGCAACACCAATGATACCTTCATGTCCCTCACTCTTGGTCAAGTCCTGACAACCTAGGTGACTCCTTGTTTTTCTAAGGCTTGAAGATTGTCGCCCGGAGAAGTATTCTGACTTGATCAAGCATTCTGTGCTTACCAAGCTAGAGTTCAACCCTCCTGAGGAGATAGTTGAGACTCTGATTCCCATCTCTGTTGTTGGTGTAGAAAACCCTGCTGCTAAGATTCTTCCTCCTTGATCTCAGGTTTTTCTTATCTTTCTTTTTGTGTTAGCTGACCTATTTACTTTATAAGGTTCCAGCTCAATAGCTCCATATGTTGAGACTGTGAAAACTAAGATTGCCGAGATGAAGGGCAAAGCTAAGTGCAAGGTTGAAGTAGGATCTAGGCTTGAACCTCCTTCAAAGGTGTAGAGGATAGATGTGCCTCTACCCTCTCTTCCACCTTTTCTTGCTCCTCACGTTATCCTCTCGCCTCCACCGACTTCACAGAATGCAATTTTGACCTCTTCTTCTCAAGGGGTCTCTCCTCTTCTCGTTGAGGAGTCCACTGGTTATGTGGGGGTCTCCTTCTCCCCTTCATCAGTAGATGTCACTGGAGCTCTGGAGTCCATTGCTCCTTTCTTGCGAGAGTCTTCCTCTTCCTGGTTTGTCTAGAAGAGTCCTCGTTTACGAGTGGAGGGTCTACCGACAAAAGTTAAGAAAGGCAAGGGTTCACTCATTGGGGACATGGGCCTTGCTGCTCAAGCCATTACCTCGATTATTATTGAATCTGACATTGTGGAGGCCTCAATGATCCTTTTGCATACCTCTACTACTATGGCTTTGTATGCAACAGCCTCGGTAAGTCTTGATTTCTTTAAATTTTGTTTCTGCTTCTAGCTAAGGTAATTTTTGCTGACCTTGAACTTTTCCTGTGCCTATTTAGCTAGCAATCCACATAAGTGCTCTGGTGAAGAGGGTCCAACCTCTGAGAGCGTGGGTGAGTAGGCTTAGAAGTCTTCGAAGGTGTCTAAGCTCAAGGTTTCTGAGCTGGCCTTTACTAATGACGACCTCAAGGCCTAGGTGTGCAACTTGAAAGCTAGGATTGAGGATCTGGTCTCAGCTAACATGGGCCTAGATTCAAAGGCTAAGAAGGCAAAGGAGGAGCTCAAAGCAAAGGCAGATAACTTGTTTAAGCTCGAGACAATGAAAAAAGATGCCTTACAGCCCTTGAATCCCTCGTGACAATGAAAAAAGAGTATCACCTGTTGGCCGAGATCAATGCTACACTGTTGAAGGAGATTGAGGCTGAGAGGCTGCAGCCCAGGAGAAGGATGCTCTGATCACTAAGCTCATGGACGAGGCTGCTACCAACTAGGGCACTTGGTACCTTGTTTTTCAGGGTCAAGCTGTGGTGGCGTATCCAAACCTGGACTTCGAATTCAAACTTCCCATGGATAAGGAAAAAGAGAAGCCTAGTGTTGAGAAGGAGGCATAGGTCTCATATCCTGCTGATGCTCCTATCGATGCTCCTGTAGATGGCTTAGTTCCTAGCAATGTCCCTGCTAACCTTGAAGCTCAAACTCATGGGTTGACTTTGCCACCAGTTGAAGCTCCTGGTTCTGTTCTTACTGAGGCTCCTCTCCCTTCAATTGTTCCTTCTATTCCTGAGCCATCTAAGGCTTTTCTTCCTATTGCTGAGCTGCCAGAAGCTACTTCTGATCCTGTTGTAGGGACTTAGGATTTTTAAGAAGTTTCTTTCTTTACTTATTTTTTTTTTTTTGTATTTAGAAGACTTTGTATTTTGCTTCTTTTGAGGAATGAAAATATTCTTTTGCAATTGCTTTGTACTTCACTTTGTTTCTGTCCTTTCCCCTCTACCCCTTGCTTTGAGGAAAACTATGTTCTTTTGGAAGTGAACCTGAATTTTGCCAAGTATGAGGTATTCCCTTATGTCTATTAAGGCTTAGCTGTATTTTTGGAGCTTCTTCATTGTTAAAGGAATTGTCTTAGTATTAGTAGAGATGTTTTTCCTAATTTTTGCAAGCTAAAGAGCTCTCTGAGTGCTTATGAGTTAAATAGCTCACTGATAGTTTATGAACTGAAGAGCTCATCAAGTGTATACGAGCTGAAGAGCTCATGGATTTTTCATGAGCTGAAGAGCTCATCCTTGGTTTATGAGGTTCTCATGATGCTACTCCAACTATTGCTCCTAAGCTGCTCGAGCTGCCTAAGGTCAAAGTTGAGGACTCTTACCTCTTTGTATGCTCTAACATTCCTGCTTCGTATTATGTCTTTTCTCTTCTACTCCAGACAGGTCTTCAGCCTTTTAAAGTAATAACGGGATTGTTATATGTGCCCACCTACCTTCTTAAAGCGCCCCTTTCCTTAAGCATTGTCATGATTATAGAAGTGTAATGGTTGCCTCTTCATCTTCGCGTGTTATTCGCTTCCTTAAATCCTGGGACTCCTTATTTTTTTCCTAAAGCTTGGGATTTCTTTATTTTTCACAATTCCTTTGACTTTTCTTACTTTCTTCTTTCCTTCTAACTTCATGGCTTCCTTTCCTACAGCACTGTTCAAACAACGAGCCCAAGCTATGTTGGACGTGCCCTGGTACTCCGTGTTTCTGTTCTCTTCACTGATTACAACTTCAGAGGTGGAGGAGATTAGGAGGCAGTATCTTCTTCCTGATGCCTTGACCATTCGCGTCCCTACCCCTATAAGCCCTGCAACCTTTTCCTTCGGCGGGAAGTTTGTTTCTTCGAAGGCGCTTTTAAGATAGGTCTTTGTTTACCCATCCATCCCATTGTTGGAAAGGTTCTAGCCTTCTATGGAATGTGCCCCTCTCGTCTTTCCCCATAAAGGTGGGGTGCTTTGATAAGATTTTTTATTTTTTTGACATTTGCAAGGTAACAATGAATTTCCCACTATCGCCGAGTTCCCCTTGCTTTAGTTGCTTCACATGGAGGCCCCACTTCGACTCTCCCTTGGTCCTTGCTGCCCCTAGCTCTCTAGAGGGGTGGACTCTGCATTTTTTCTTTATTTCTAGGGACTCGTAGGAGTCTGTTGAAGCACGGTCTGAGCGTGCTTGAGTCCCTCGCTCTTTGGGGGCATTTTTATGACAGAGGTAAAGGATTAGGATTTTTATTCCCTTCTACGAGTTGCAAACCTTATGATGAGTCTTAATTACGCTCAAGTTGTGCAGGTGCTCCATGTCTGACCCTGATGAGCTGATGAGAGTCAGCCGAGTGGCTCGCGCTGAGCTGGTCCCCTACTCGTTATTAGTCAGCCCCAGCACCTTCACTGGTTTGAGACTGGTGCTAGCTCTGTTGTCATCCTGGATGTTAACCCATGCCCTCTTTCTCCTATTCTTGATGTGGACTCCTCTCCCACTGAATCGGATGAGGATGTTGCTACTTCTTCAAGGAACTACAAAAGGGGCAGATCATCAGCACAATCATTAGGTTTCTCTTTTGGTGAGATCAGGTTTACAACTGTAGAGCTAGAGCTTGCGAAATAGCAGCACTCTGAGGTGGAGAAGGAACGAGATGAGTTAAAGGTTGAGAATGCTTGTCTACAGACTGTGAATGCACAATTGGAGGAGGAGATATTTGAGCTGCAACAGAGACTTAGGGGGGCTTAGAACTTTTATTCCTTTTCTTCTTTTGTATAACCCTAGCATTCTTACAAATATGAAACAACTTTTTTTATTGAACACCTTACTTATTTCCTTGTTATTTTACTCTTTTAGTTGTAATGCTTGGGGTAAAAAAACACAATCGATGTAGTGAGCTGAGTCAGATGCTCCTTTGACTTCGAGGAAAATTGTGTTCCAAGTGTGAGGCCTGTCTTCAGTTGAGCGTATATGACCTAAAGAGCTCCTTATTTGTTTATGAGCTAAAGAGCTCAACTTTTGTTTATGAGCTGAAGAGCTGATTAGCACAAAAATATGACATATATTGTATGCTAATCAGCCCTTTTATACTTTCTTTTGTCATGAAATTGGAAAGAAATGTGTTTAATCTCAGCTTTAATGGAGTTTTGTGTAAATGTAGGTGAAAAGGCTTAATTGGTTGGAGTTATACCCCCAATGAAGTGTTTGATATCAATGAAGATGAAGGGATGGCTTAAAGGAAGGCTTGGAGGGTGAAGAAACAAAGAAAATTGCATTTTGATGAAAACCTTCCAAAAGGTTTGGTTAGAAACCTTCCAGAAAGTTTATGCTTGGTCTGCCTATTCACTGTCAGAAACCTTCTGGAAGGTTTGCATTTATCTTTCGGAAAGTTTTGCTTACTGGAATGCTCATTTAATTGTTCCTGCACAAACCTTCCGGAATGTTTGTGTCGACCTTTTAGAAGGTTTTGCCCAAATTGCCCAAACAGCCTGCAACTCAAGCTTTGCCATTTTTGGATCCCACTTACACTTCTCCAACAGGTACCCTGACATCCCTTACACATCTACAAGCCTACCCTCACCTATAGTTGGACTTTGAAGGCCTTGGCATTAATGAGGAGGAGAGAGAAGAATAAGGCAAAGAAAGGGGAAAGCTATGCTTGTCCTAGCCCACAACATTCCATCAAATCAACCCCACTCTTAATGGGAGGCATGTCTTGCACCTATGGAGTTCTCTATGGACAAAAATAGGGATTCATTTATGTATTATTCTGAATGTATTACCTTATAGAGAGAGGAGCTCTTGGTAGAAGACATAGTTAGAGAGAGAAAGCTTAAGATTTTCACATTTCTTCCATCCATTTCACTTGTAATCTCTTGTAAGAATCTTGTAGGCTTCCTTTATTGTCTTTAATGTCATTTATTTCCAGTACATTTCAAGTTTAGCAAAGTATCTTAATTTATACCATTGATGTATTTGAGTTTTCTACATTTCAAGCTTTAAATGGGTATAAAATGCACTTTCTTGTAATTTTGTGTTTTCTTACATTACTTTAAGTTCCAAGCTCCATTTTCTATTCAATGTCTCCTCATTTCATTTTTGTTATTACCTTAAACATGAGTAGCTAAGTTTATAGTTGGCTAATCCAAGGGAGAACTCCTCTTGGTTATGCTACTTTAACTCATTTTCTTCCCTCCTTCTAGTGTATGTTGGTTCGGTTTGGCTAGGTTGAGTGTGGACCGGATTGTGAATTCTTGATACACCATAGGCATTGTCACGGGGAATGCTTGAATCCTCACTTCCATCCTAGTCACGTAATTCCTATGAATCAATTGAACATCTAGGCACCATTGGAGAAAGATTTTGAGTTGATTTGGCATTCCTCTTGGAATGACCACTTTGGATTAGCCAACACTTATCCCATTTAAATTCCATCAAGATACAATCACAAACCAAACTCAAACAACAAAAGATTTTTACACTTTACCCTTTTTACCAAAATTACCTTCAACACGGTTCACCTCCTTCCTTGAGGAGACGACCTTGGAATACAATTTTGAAGTAAAACACGACACTCAAAAGTCTCCCTATGCTTGGGGAGTGCTTACTTGGTTTCTGTTGTAGTATATCCTAACCTCCGAACCACATCCCACAATGTATAGATGGTGTCTGTGTGAAGGGGAGTGACTCTCTCCCTTGAAATGATGTCAAAAGAAAGGGCAATAGAATGGTGGATGACTAAAATATGTACAAAATGTGTGTATGAACAAAAATGCTTTCCAAGCACAAGAAGACTTTTGTGTGTTGTGTTTTACTTGGAATTGTATTCCAATGTCGTCTCCTCAGGGAAGGACGACAAATCATGCAAGAGGTGATTTTGGTGAAAGAAACGTGTAAAATCTTTTGTTGGTTGAAGTTTGGGTTGTGATGAAATTGAAATGGGGAACAAGTGTTGGCCAATCCAAAGGGTTCACTCCAACAGGAATGCCATGTCAACTCGAAACTTTCCTCCGATGGTGCATAGATGAACAATTGATTCGTGGGAAGCTAGGGACGATATGGAAGATGATTAACCGTAATTAATATATAAATCAGAATAGTTAAATAAGTCATATTAGTAAAATAAAATAACCAAAAACTATTAATTAGAGTCAATTAGGGTTTGTGCAGTAATTAGGGTTTTACGTGTGTTATGTTTAAAATTTTTAGGGGCTAATGGAGAAATATTGGAGAATAGGAAGAACCAATTGTCAAGGCTTGAAACAACATAGGCTAAAATGTAATTCCAACAAATGAAGAGTCAGCATACTTTGCAAGTGGGAAAATCTAGCAAGGTCACACCGTCCAGACAATGGTGATGGCGTCCGGACAATCCCCATTGGCAGCTGAAATTGATCCTGAATCCTCCTGCTTCCTCCTCTTCCTATAAATAGGCATGCACTCTTCCATTTTCAAAGGAGGCTGGACACCAATAGCTCTAGAGAGAAATCCAAGAGAGAAAAAGAGAAAGAAAAAAGAGAAAAGAAAAAGAGAAAGAAAAATTTGCAACTCGATCCGGTCCATCATACATTTCAGTCCAAACTCTGTACTTTTACATTTCTGTTGTATCTTTCTATTCAGATAGTTAAACTGTCGTCACCTTTTTGTCATAACTGATAATAAAGATGATTGTGTTTCAGTTGTTCCTGATGAAAGACGTTTTAGAGTCTGTCTTTTAATTTTAGTTGTAATGAAAACTACTCACATTCCTTGCTTGTCTGTAGCAATGGGGGCGTGAGTAGTTATTTATATCCCCTAGTGAGAGGTAAACATATGTATAATATTGGTTAAATTCTGGAGATGTTGATGTTTTAGATATTTATATATCTATGTATTATATGCTTCATGCATGATACAATGATGTACATAATTTCAGTGCTGTGCCTGGAATTATGTCATCAGTGCATCATCAACCTGCCGGTTAAACAACCACGGCATTCCTATCGGTATGGTTTATCCTCCATCGGAACGCTGAGGATGTTTAACTGGTATATGTATCACAGATAGAGTCAAATAAATAATTCAAGTATTCCTCATGAATGACTTGTCCTTCTGGTTTGCTTGGATTAGCCAATTGACACATCTATAAACCAACTAACCTAAGAAGTTGTTGTGTTATGACTAATACCACTAGCTAACCTAAGAAGTTGTTGTGTTATGACTAATACCACTAGTTAACCTAAGAAGTGGCTGTGTTATGATTTATTATGTACCTACTATTATGAAGACAAATGAATAATTCAAGTATTCCTCATGAATGGCTTGTCCTTCTGGTTTGCTTGAATTAATCAATTGTCATGGATATCACCAGCTAACCTAAGAAGTTGTTGTGTGATAGTTTATATACATCAAACCTATCAGTTGACTTGCCAGTAATATGGAAGTTAATTGCTGTAAGATAGCATTTCCAGTATTTAACTAATATAATGCATATGGGATCCTTGAACTGAATGATACTTTTCATTATTGTCTAAATCTATCTGCAACATAACTTTTTAATTAAACTAGTTATCAATCTAAGCTCACATCACAAGCTATCACATGTTGTCCTATCTAAGATAAACAACTTTACAAATTTTATTTTATTTCCTAATTACACACACTCTTCGTGGGATCAATACTTGGACTTAAAACCGAGAGAACCACAATTCGACCACTTATACTTGAGTGTATAATATTAATCCGATTACAAAAAAGTGCGGTATCCAAGCATAACCCGTGACAAGTGTATGGGATATCAAAGACTCACAATCTCAACCACCCTAAACCCAGTCAAACCAAACCATTGTACACCGATGGGAGGAAAGAAGATGAATTGAAATGGCATACCCAAGAGGAGGTCTTCCTTTGATTGGCCAACTTAAAGGCTTAACTACTCATGCTTAATAGAAAATACAATAATGTAATGGAAGACATTCCAAAGAAATGAAGATTCCAGCAAAATTAATGCAAGAAAGCAAAAACTAAGGGAGAATGCATTAAATACCTATTTTGAAACTAATAAATTTAAGAACTTGAATGCATTAATGGTGAAAGCTTGAATAAAAGACTAAACATCAAAGCTAATTGTAATAAATTGCATTAAAGACTTCAAAATAAGCTTAGAAGGTTCTTACATGAAACTACAGGACAATGTTTGGAAGAAATGCAAAAATCTCAACTTCTCTCTCTAACACGATTCATCTTCTTCCTAGACTCTCTCTCTCTATTACAATGTGTTTTTTTTATCTCTCTATATTGGTGTATTCCCCTTCCAAAAAATGTCCATGGAGTGATGCCCTAGCCTTCTGATGTGATGTCCATCCATAAGGCATGGGTTGGTGCGGGCAAGTGTAGACTTTGCCTCCACACCCAGCATCTTCTCTCTCCTCTCTCATCAATTATGATCAAGCATCCAAAAGTCCAAGAAGAGGTGTATGAGAGATGTCCAGTGTGTTGGGAGTGTCAGAGTAGGTAGGAGAATGTCTGGTGGGACCCCCAAGGCTGTAGAGCTTGAGATACAAAATCTGACACTTTTTAGTAAAACCTACC